CACTTGCACTCTTCAACAGATGGTGCAGGACGGGCTGGCGCTGCCGCGAACGCCTCAACATCCGTAACAAACATGACTGTACTTCACTGTTGATTTAGGCTGTAATGCGTTTGTTGAATCTCATGAATACCAAGAGTGACATCGGATGTGCTTGCGGTCGTATTCATCCTATTGGCTCAGGTATAACTACACAATTCTTGCGCAATTCTGTTCGCCCACATCATTTTGTGATGCTGCAGTCAAGGAGGGGCACTTAGCCTCACCCTCTCTGAATGGACTTTTGTGCTATTCTATGGCCAAGTGCAGGGAAACAAGGAACTTACTAACTCGGCGATATGGGCGGATCTAGTCCACCTCCCAACTTCAGTAGCGCCCTGTATCCTCTATTGTTCTTTCAGCTAGGTAAATTATTGGCGAACTTTTCGTTATTCGTTGAGGTTCCCGGTGCAGTTCGACTGCTGGGGACATCAAAAGTTTCTCATCGAGGCTTGCACAGGCCATCTTGTGAAGACCTGTAAACCCTGTCACTGAATCAACTCACTTGTACCATTTCGCTGCTTCGCACGAAGTTACAGGTGTAGACCTGAGAGGTAGGCAAGAGGAATTAACGAAAGTGCAACACTCTTCCCCCCCCCCCCGCTCGAAACCGAACGGCTCCCGGTTTCCTCGCATTATGATTTCAAACTGTCTGTGGGGGTACTGTAATTGAGGTCATCTTTATAAAAGAGCTTTCCACCGTTGTTTTCCGGGCTTCTTGTTCGGGTAAGCTTGATTTCTTTTCCTTATCCGGTCCACCCTGCTTTCTGGCCATTTTCTGAGCAGCAGGGCACGCACTGTGGAGCGGAATTGTATGGAGACCCGAGGTATACAATGAGCCCAATAAAAACAGGAAATGTGTGAAATTAGGTATCTCTGATGATTCGTTAATGCTTTTGTTTAAGGCGTTATGGTGTGGTATCAGAAATTCGAATACGCTATTGCGCACTGGTTCCAGAAAGCAGCTGAGCACGTGTTCGGATGTGTGTTGTGCGCTCCTGGCTGCTTCTCACTGTTTCGTGCCTCGGCGCTAATGGATGACAATATTATGCACAAGTTAGTTGAAGCATCGTAGAAGGCGCTTTTCGCTGTAACTCGATCTGCTAGGTCGACAATAAGTGGGCTATACTGCCGCGGCAGAAGACCATCATGGAACTCCCTTTATCTAGTTTTTCGCTCCTGAATATTGGTTAAGGTACACCAAAACTGCTCAAGAGCCTCGCCACTTTGTACAGTATGACCAAGGAGAAGATCGCTGGCTCAGTACTCTTATGCTAAAACAGGTATATTACCCAGTGAATCATTACCGCTCATGTTTATGTTGTAATCTAGGGATACCGTATCGAATACGTAGCCGCATCGGACGCAGAAACATATGCTCCTGAAGGTTTCGAAGAGTTTTTCAATCAACGACGACGTTGGACGCCTTCTTCAATAGCTAACACAATTGATCTGCTGGCTGATTACAAGGTAAGGAAAGAGCTACAGCAACCTCTAGTATGACATAGTTGGATGAGCTTTCTTCAGTTGTGACTAATTGAAATAGAAAATTGGAAATAATTCTAGAACTTCGAAATATAGCGAGTGACTATTAGAAGCTGAAAATAGCGGAAGCTTGGGGCGCTGGTGACATGCTTTTCGGGGAAGGGGGGAGGGGACATTTTGCACTTT